GGGGGGGGAAAGGGATAACTGAGGAGGGAAGAAGAAAGATCTGTAGCCATGATGACTTCGGTCGGCGAGATTTCGATCCGCAGGAAGGGGAGGCAGTTTTGTGTGGAAGGAGATGTGGAATGTGTGTGCTTTTTCTCAAAAAAAAAGAAAAAGAAAAAAAGAATGTGTGTGCTTTTCATGCGGCGGGAAACGCTCCACCGACGCTTGGCTACTCGTCCCTTCCCCCGAATAGAACGCTCGGTCCTTATGGATGTATTTAGACTGAAAGTTGCCCCAAAGTACAGGCAGGTAAAATGACCGGGGTCCTTCGGGACATATCCGTTAAGAGGATTGGAACGATACAGAGAAGGGGAAGATTAGCAAAATGGCCCCTGCGCAAGTAAGGATGACACGCATAAATCGAGAAATGGTCCAAAAAAAAAAAGAAAAAAAAAAAAAAAAGACCGGGTGTTCTATTCGGGTGAAGGAGGACATTGATAGTAATTACCGCGTGTTCTATTCGGGTGAAGACGGTAGGCGGGAAGTTCTTTTTTGGAAAGAAAGAAAAAGAAATGCTAAATGGAACTAATCATGAGGAAAGCGAGGGGAAAAGCCATGCTGTATAAAAAAAAGTACAGAAGTGAAAAAAGAAAAAAAAAAAGAGAGAAAAAAAAACGTGAAAAAAAAAGAGAGAATAAAAAACGTGAAAAAAAAGGGAGAATAAAAAACGTGAAAAAAAAAGAGAATAAAAAACGTTAAAAAAAAAGAGAATAAAAAACGTGAAAAAAAAAGAGAGAATAAAAAACGTGTTGTACGGGTATCAGCTCGGAACGGACAAAATGAAAAAAGAAGTGGGGGGCTTGAAAGAAAGTCGTCTCGCTGGCAGAGGGGCATTTGCAAAATATTGCCACTTATCTGTTCAGGCCGGGACCGTACTTCACTCACGTGCGGGGACCGTTGCCTCCTCCTCCTTCTTGTCTGATAAATTAAAAAGTAAATTAAAATGTAAATCAAAATATAAATTAAAATATAAATTAAAATCTAAATTAAAATGGAAATTAAAATGGAAATTAAAATGGAAATAAAAATGTAAATTAAAATCTAAATTAAAATATATTAACTAAAGCAATGCACTGTTCTTATACTGTATTAGTATAATTTATTAGTAATAAAATACTGTATTATTCTAATTTATTAGTAATAAAAATACTGTATTAATATAATTTACTAGTATGTCTTTGCCTTTTTGTGTCTCGCACCGTCAGCTTCCGTTTGTCCTATCCTTTCCGCTGACGTATTCCCTGCAATATTCCCGTTTCTCTTTTTTTTTTCCTTTTTTAAAAAGGGCGACGGCCTTGTGACAGTGTATCATCAATGAACACAGTGTGTATCATCAATGAACGGACCGGCTCCAGGGAATTCAGGATGATTTGATTCTGTTCATTTTTTTTTTTGGATAGCATCTGGATTGGAACCTGAGTCTATATATCAATCAACAGTTAATGGGTGTACCAAGTGGTTCCTATTCACATCTCAACCGTTGGTTCCTGTTCACATCTCAACCGTTGGTTCCTATTCACATCTCAATGCCTCCTCTTTTTTTGTGCCTCGCCTGCTCCTTCTGTATCTTTTCTCCTCTCCTTCTTCTCAATTCTGCAGCCTGTCTAATCTTTCTGCTCTTCGAACGTCTAAATCTCTCTCTCTCTCTCTCTCTCTCTCTCTCTCTCTCTCTCTCTCTCTCTCTCTCTCTCTCTCT